GAAAGAGGCCCCTGCCATCAGGGAATACCATTTTCATGAAAGGGTGTACTTGGACAGCAACAATGTTTAAGTAGGTGGTACGTGTCAAAGTAACATTCACATAAATGGCAGAACCCAAGGTTTCCCAGCTGAACATTGCCCAAAGCATCACACTGCCTCCGCCAGCTTGACTTCTTCCCATAGTGCATCCTGCTGCCTTCTCTTTCCCAAGTAGGTGGCACACACGCACCTAGCCATCTACATGATGTAAGAGAAAATGTGATTCATCAGACTAGGCCACCTACTTTCATTGCTCCATGGTCCAGTTCTTATGCTCACATTTTCATTTTAGGCGCTTTTGGTAGTGGACATGGGTCAGCATGGGCACCCTAACCGAATTGCAGCTACGCAGCCCCATGCGCAACAAACTGTGATGCACTGTGTTCAGACAGTTTTTTTTCAGAGCCAGCATTAACTTTTTCAGCAATTTTAGCTACAATAGCTCTTCTATTGGAACGGACTTTACGGGTCAGCTTACGCTCCTGACCTGCATCAATGACCCTTGGCCACCAGTGATTCTATCGTAGGTTCACCAGTTTTCCTTCCTTAGACCTGACTACTGCAGACCGGGAACATCGAACATGAGCTGCAGTATAGGAGTTGTGCTGACCAGTCGTCTAAACATCACAATTTGACCCTTGTCAAAGTCTCTCAAATCCTTAGGCTTGCCCATTTTTTCTGCTTCCAAACACATCAACTCTAGAGACAAAATGTTCACTTGCTGCCTAATATATCCCCCCCACTTCCAGGTGCAATTGTTCACAATATAAAGTAGTATTGGTTGGGGTTATACAGAGACATAAGTGGTCTAAAGGGAGTCAGTTTTAATTTTTTCTCATCACTGACATATATGTTTTATTGCTTTTAACTTGTTTATGAAAATAACATTTTGATACTTTTGTATACATACATTTTGTCTTTAACGGGGAAACCTAAAAGTCTGTTATGTGGTATATTTTTATTATATTTAAATAAATATGGGATGTGGTACCCCAATTATCTAACCCGCCCCTCAATATCAAATATGTTATACACCAAACAAAAGCAAAAGTGGGTGTGGTTGTGTGTCGGGGTGTGTGTATGTGGGCGGGTCCTCAAGTTGGATACTAATTATGCAAACCAATGGACTATAAGAGTTCATTCACATTAACTTATGCATTAAGGCAGCCCATTCATTTTGGATGGGCTGGCAGCTCACCCTAATGCACTTAGC